TTTAACTTATTACTAAAAGTTTTTCCACTTTGTTTATTAATACAGATGCGTCCTAAAGAAATAAACTCACTCTGAAGCACTTTATTCCCAAATTGGCTCCATCTGGTGGTGAAGTGGGGAAGTAAAAGGAGTGAAAGTGCAGAAGGAGTGTTTCTCCTCCAGCTCCCACTCACTTGTTTGACTGGCCATCAGCCAGCAAGTCTCAAGTGGTGTAAGACAAGACTTTTAAGGTTTTCTGCAGCTCAAAGTTGTACAAAATGGTTGCATAACAAGTTCTCGCACTAGGACTACGGCATCTGCACATTTTTGGCCCCTTAACGAGCCAGTCCCACACTGATCCTCTGTGCTTTTTCTGTTGTTTTTTTTGTGTGTGTGTGTGTGTGTAAATCCAAAGCGTCTCTTGCTTTGCTGAGGTCCACAGACTTCGGTCAATAAAATCCGGCAACATACGGGTCTGTTTAAACCGGGTAGATTTTTCGTTTTTCCATTGGGTTTTACTTGACCTGAAACTATGTGATGATTGTGCAACCAGGGTTCCTGCACAGTCTGAAAGACTATGGATCCCGGTCTGGATAAGTGTGGAAAAAAACACAAGAGAAAAAGATTTGGGTTGCCAGACTTAATTTCCTGTCCTGCTGTCAAAATGTTGTGTTCATCCACCCATCCACTTACCAATCCTTTTATTGACCATAAACCCACAGTCATGTTTTCTGTTAATATCTCAATATTAGCCAAAAGGGAACCAGGAAGTCTTGGATTTTGACACGTGTAGAAACCCTGTGCAATGAAACAAGTTTGGGCTCATGCTCCGCTCCAAGATGAAATTTAAAAATACTGGATTGACCGGCACGATGCAGCGTGTTGACTAACTCTTCTGGTGTTATGCTTCTCCTCTCATAACTCAAATCTGGATTTGATTTGGTCCCCGACTCTCTGCTAGATCCAAAAAAACATTATTTCCAAATTGCTTGCATATTTTCTCAACATGCAAGTGATGCATGAAGCAGGAAGACGGCACAATGGCTGAATATTTATAACTGTCATTGTAGCGCATTGTAAAGGTCGAGAGGTTTCCACTTGATGAGGCCTCTGGGAGTTTTGGACTGGGGCTTTTTTCTGTGTACGGCGGGTTTTGCTGCTGCTCTGTAGTTTCCATTCCCCCTCAGCAGAGCAAGCGGTCCACTTTCCTTTGACCTTCAGTCGGAAAGAAGATAAAGAGACACAACTTGTTTCCTCCTTCCTTTCAGTAGTAATTAACCTCCTTCATGACACGTCGCTGAAATCCGAAGCAACAGGATGCTGCAGACGACCTGAGGCCTCGCATCAACACGTTACAGACAAGATGTTGACAGCTGTTCACAGTCCTGGACTTCAGTGACCCATGAGGCGCATCTGTGAAGCCATTTTTAATGGCGTTGACTGTGAAGAGCTGCTCCACATAGAATGACTTGCATGTTCTGGCAGTGGGGTGTTGCAATCTTGCTCGCCAGATTGACAAGGAATGTGATTCTTTGTTTATTTAAAGCAGAAACAAAAGCAGCCCATGTGACGATTAATCAGGATGATACTGAATCTGAGGGGAGAAAGACAAGCAGATCTGCAGGCGAAGAGGTGCGGGGGAGACTCCAAATGAGAAACATACGCTCCAACTGCATGACTAAGCCTCCTCAGCCCCTGTTTGGAAGGGGGGGAAGGGGATGAGGGTGTCAGGGAATGTGGGGAGCTGGGGGGGGGGGGCGGGGGGCGGGGCCAGCAAATGGGGGGGAAAAAGGGG